GGATTTGCCTTCCGCCCCTCCGCCAGCCTTAGCTGCAAGCCTCGGGCACAGGAGGCACAGGAGCGTCACTGACCGCGAGGAGAGGGGGCACACTCATCACCGGTGCCTGATTCAGTAAATGAAAACAGAGGACGCCCAGGGGGATCTGAAGGTTAGCAAACAACGAATAATTCTTTATGCCCCAGGCGATATACGGGGGAGGTATCTTATGCTAGAAAACCATGTACTTACACTAGAGAAGTATTTGCTGTTTACCTTCAGTTCAAATAGCGCTGGGTAACCTGTACTTTACCCGCTCACCCTACCCTCCCGGCACCTGCCCGCTCGCAAAGAGCCTGTGCCACACGCAGACGGTCAGTTTGCATAAGTTAAAAGATTGAAACCACCTCTTTCCCTCAGAGGAACTGAAAGGCGAATGTTACCCCCGCTAAAACTACAAATGTGCCTCCGATTTTCCAAAACAAGCCACTGACGATGGAGCACAGAGGCCCCGGGCCTGCCCAGAACAGCACGGCGGGGCGGCGGGGAGTCAGGTTCCCGGGCCATGGCTGACCCGGGTTAGGGGCTGTCTTCCGCCAAGCGGTAGTAGGGCCACCTCGCCAGATGGTGGCAGGGCTCAGACACGACAGGTGTCGACACTGACACCTTCCACAGTGTGGACACATGACGGGGTCGAGAGACGGGGATGGACAGGTGAGCGCTGTGCAGCAAGAGCCAGGGGCCACCGCCCCTCCGCCAGCCGCTGAACCCGCGTCCCCCGGGTGCCTTTAACACCGCATACTCCTAAGAACCACTCCAGATCCTTGGAATCAGAAAAAAATGATCAGAAAAATGATAAGGCCTGGGCTGCAGGCTGCGCAGGGCATCAGGGCTGAGAACCATGAGTCCAAACTCGGAGGATGGCTCTGCCGAGGGTGCTTCTCCGACGAGAGCAAAGAGCAGAGGCCGGGGGGGCGTGTAAAACACAGGTGGCTGCGTGTTATCGAGTTTCTGCTTTGGCAGGCAGGGTGGGCCGGAGGATTTGCGCGCCCCCGGGTGATGCTGCGGCTGCTTCTGAAGACAATCGAGAGCCACCTCCCTCCACCCCGGCCCCGGCTGCACCTTAGAGTCACCCGGGGTGTTGTTAAACACCTAGGCCTTGGCCCTGGAGAATCTTACTTAAATAGTCTGGGGGGGAACGGGGCCCCTCACAAGTCGAGGGCCCCCGGGCCCGGAATACCTGCTCTCCTGGACTGAGCTTTCTGCCCCACCGACAAGGGCTGCCCAGGGCCCCTCAGAAGCTCAGTCGCCCAGGCCCCACCTGTGGAATCAGAATCTGCATTTCAACAAGGCATGAATTCCTATCTCATGAAAGTTCAAGAAGCACTGCTTAGGATTCAACCTAAATGAAACTTTTTCTTTTTTTTTTTTTTTTTTGTATTTTAGAGATTTTATTTTTTAAACATGTCTTAACTTTTTTAAATTGTTTTTTAATGTTTTATTTATTTCTGAGAGAGGGAGAGAGGAGGGGCCGAGAGAGAGGGAGACAGAATCCGAAGCAGCTCCAGGCTCCCAGCCGGCAGTCAGCACAGAGCCCGACGTGGGGCTCGAACCCACCGACCGTGAGATCATGACCTGAGCCGAAGTCGGACGCTCAACCGACTGAGCCCCCCGGGCGCCCCAAGTGAAACTTTTTCTAAGAAGACTCCTTCTAGTAGCTCTGTAAGGGTAGATCTCCAGAACTCTGAGGTTGGAAAAACAGAGCTAGCGCTGCCCAGCCCTTCCCATTAGCGAGTCAGACAGGTAGCCAAGCATGCAATAAATAAAGTCTCCCAGTGACATTAATCGCCTGCCCTTGGAGTAAGTGTTGGAGGACAAATTTTTAAATGAAAGTAAGCAGGCACCACGTCCCAAGAGTGTAGAACCCTCATCAGTGACTTTCCAGCATCTGAGAGAAGAACCCAGACCAGACAGACGCCTTCCTTAGGCTTAGGGGCAGGGGTTGCTACCAGTATTATAACTGCAGTGTGTACTCACCGTCGCATACAGACTATGGAGTTTATTATATTCCAGAGCGAGGCCTCAGCCATGCCCCCCTTCATGCATTGGAAAGTACCTGGGCTACTACCTAACTGTCTAGTATGATCAAGATTCTTGGCCCAGAGCCCCAAAGCCAAACAGTATCATTAGCAAACACTTAATAGTATCGCCTAGGGTGTGGGGAATAAGCCTCTCATATCCTAATGGTGTAAGCGTCAGCTGATGCAGAATTATTGGAAGGCAATGTGGGAAACACCCTCAAAACTTTAAATACCCATATGCTACGACCCCCACTCCCACAGCTAGATATGTAGCTTACAAAAAAAATTAGAAGACATGTATAAAGATATATACATAAGAATGGTCTTTGCAGCACTGTTTCTAATTTTTTTAAATGGAAATAAGCTATACATCTATCAAGAAAGGAGTGGATAAATTCTTATAGTTCAGTAGTCTTCTGCACATTTATTTTAAAAATGGAAACTATAGAGGCACCTGGGTGACTTAGTTGGTTAAGCATCTGACTTCAGCTAAGGTCATGATCTCATGGTTCATGAATTTGAGCCCCACATTGGGCTCGTGGGGACAGCTCAGAGCCTGGAGCCTGCTTGGATTCTGTCTCTCTCTCTCTCTCTCTCTCTCTCTCAAAAATAAATAATAAAACTTTTAAAAAATTTTTAGAAAAAGGGAACTATAAGTGTTCACACATGAACAGATGCGTGAATGCATATGTGTGTATATATGTAGTATGACAAATCTGGAAATGCACCACCAATCTGTAAACAATGATTGCTTTTGGGAAGTGAAGCTAGAATAGAGGAAGTAGATTTCACTTTTTCTGCATACCCGTCTATAATTTTTGAATGTGTTATAAAAAGCATGTATTATTTTTATTGTTTAAAAAGTATTTGCGACAGGTAAAAATAATTTTTTAAGAATTGTTTTTCTCTAGGTGTGTTTCCTTACATTAGCTCATTTAGTTCTGTGTTTTAGGCTTATTAATTAGACTTAACACAATATACTCTCAGTTGACTAAACTTGGGTTTTAGAAAAAACCTAATCCAGCCTGGATTCCTTGAGATTAAATCCAGGTGACCCTGACTGGCTTCAGGGCACCCTAGAGGGTTCTTAATTTTAATTTAGTATCAGGTCTTTGAAATAACACCCGTGTCTTTTAGCCTCTGCCTTTTACTATTACCTCTTAATAAGCATGTGGTTAGCTAAAACTCCGAATTCTTCTCAGTAAAATGCTGCTAAACCAGGTCACCCCAATTCTGTATTATGTAATTTTTTTAATATAAAGGTAAATGTTTACATTTAGTTTTATTAACTTCTGTGTACGTGTTATTACCTACAGTCTGTTAACATAATTTCAGTCTGTTAAATTTGGACTTTGCTTTCAATTGCATTAGATACTCCTCTAAATTTTCTATTATTTAAAAATTTAATCACTGTGGATATTATAAAATTTATAGACATGTCTTTTAGACAGTACTCTTTTTAGCTGAAAATGACCAAAACCTACTTAAACAAACAAAAAGGAGATTTATCAGCTAGAGACCTAGCTTTTTCATTGATCTCAAGGTAGGAATGATATGAGGCCAGAGAGAGAGCGAGACAAGGCAGGAAATGGAAAACTATCACACTGGAGCATTTTACTCTCCTTCCCTGATCTCTGTCTCTTCATGCCCTTTCTCAGTCCCCCACAGCCACCCCCCCTCTCCCAATACTCACTTCCCTTACCCTCTACCACCCCATCTCTCCAACTGGCTCTCACCCACCTGTGCAGGTAACAACAGACCCAAGTGTGGCTCAGGGTGAAAGCACTTGCTTCCCTCTCCCAGCTAAACCTCTTTACCCTGGATTTGCATTCAGGCCTCAGGCCTCTTCCAGATCATGGGCTCCATTTCTTTCCACTGGCTTCCCCTCACTGTCACCCCCATTGGCCCTAAGAACCACCTAGATACTGAGAATTTATACCTTCCCTCTGGCCCCAGGCTAAGGCCCAATTTCTGTTCCCAGGAAGAAGCAGTTTGGGTTCGGTGTCTCCCCTGGTCCAATCAAATGTGGTCAAGGGAATAAATTCTGATAGAATAAACATGGCTTCCCAGAGCCATCCTCCGTGGCTGGGTGCAATTATGCGACAAGTGTAATACTGACAACTAAGTGATAAGCAAATGCCCCAATTTGTCTCCTCTAGAAACAGCAAACCAAGTCCAAGAGAGGCTTTGAACCCCCAGACTCAAACCAGGGGTGATGGCTTTGGAGTTAAAGAATGGAATATAGTTTAGATTGCCTTTGAAGTCAAATTAGGTATTACATCCTAATTCTGCCATGAACTAGGTATTTTTATCTTGGACAAATTAATCTCTTCAGCCTCAGTTTCCTCACCTAAAAAATGACAAAAAAAATAGCTGGTCTCGTCGGGTGGCTGTAGATATTAAACGAGATTATCTGTCATGCTTCCTAACTCCTAGCAAGCATTTGGCAAATGCCAACTGTCATTATTAATATGATTACATCATCATTATCAGTATGAAGAAATGTCTGTCACGGTGTAACGAAAGGCAGTGGGTTTGACATAATACACATATATCTCAGCCATACCTTGTTTTTGTATACATATATGGAATATAGAAGACAAAACACAGGTATACATATTATTCTACATAAATATAGGGTAATAGAATATATAGGATGAGATATATCCGTATATTTAGGAGAACGAACACCACCTCCCCGTGACACCTTGCGGGTCGGTGCGCCGTTGCGCACAGCTCTCTAGAAATGTCGCCTTGTCATTTACTGGCATGAGGCGAAAATGCTCAGGAAAAATAGTCCTTTTGTTTAAAATAGAAACATAGAAGGAAGCCAAATTAACACGCAAATTCCTGTTCTTGTGGGGGGCGGGGGGCGAGGGACCCTCATTTCTGAAATGAAAAGAGAAATTGCTGCTACCAAAATCCATGTTTCCTTTTTGGTGAAATTCTCCAGCCAAGCTTGGCACTAACCAAGTCGGCGATTCCGCTTCATCATTACTTCACAAAAGACTTCCAAAATCACTGCGGCAGACAGGCGAAATAAAAATGTTAAATCCATCCTGGCTGGGAGGGGACTGAAGCCTCCACGCTCCATCAAAGGTTTACAATAATAGGATTCATAAAAAAAAAAAAAAAAGACAGATGGGATTAGAAAATGTTGCAGGGAAGACTCTGGAATGAGATGAGATCACAGCAGCAGCCTGTCTTTTGTGGACTTGCACAATGATCCCCGAGCCAGACTGGATTAGGAAGCCTCGCGACTAGGGGTTCAGAGAGAGGCTTCCGGCTCCCGGCACTTTGGGGGAGAGAAGGCTGAAACGATGCATCAGATATACAGCTGCAGCGATGAGAATATAGAAGTTTTCACCACCGTGATCCCTTCCAAGGGTGAGTAAAATCGCCCTTGGCTGTGTCCTCAGCGGCGCCTTGTGCGATCACGTGCTGCTTTACGACGGCTTAGCTCGTCTCCGAGGGTCTGATGGGCTCTGTCTGGATGGTGTCTGCTGTTGGTATTGCTGTTGTTTTTGAAAAGAAGGTCCGTGGATAGACATGAATCACTGAGAAACAATTGATCTAGGGGGTGGGGCAGGGATGACGGCCGTGAAATACCCCCGGCTTCACTTCGTTGAACACTGGCAACCCAATGCGCCACCGAAGGAAAGTGACAGCCAGCCATTGTTTTAGGAAAGAGAGATGAAAACACAATTCCAGGGCAGCTAGAGGGATTCTTTCATGTTCTCCAGTGAGCAAGTGGGCTCTGCAATGGGAACCAGCTGGCTTAAAAGTATGGTTTCTAACTATGCGGTGGAATGGAGTGGAAATACTCCCAGCCGTGGCCAAGAGTCTAATAAAGTGGTCTCAGATCACGCCGTGGCCCAGGGCTGCCCTCCCACACAGACCCCAGGGCCACGCTCCCGAACTTCACCTCAAACTAGCACTGCCAACGAGCGTGACTCTGTGAGCCCCGTGCTCCGTGTGAATGGTGCCAGGTCCCAGGATGGCTGTGTAGACGAGCTCAGCGGACAGCAGGTGTCTGGCTACTGGAGGTCCCCTGCTGCGTCCCCTCCGCAGCTCAGGCCTGTCTGCGGCCCCCTCTGCCCCCCTGGCAGCCCCTGCCTCGCGGGAGAGCCGGGGACCCCGGCGTGGCCCTGGTCTCATTGTCAGACTTGAATGAAGGGGGCTGGATGTTTGCTGGTGTTGTGACCCCCTGTTCAAACAATCCTTTCTTCTTCCCGTGTCAGCCGCTGACAGGGCCGCCGCGCAGGGCGGGGGAAGGGAGAGATCCAGGCTGGCCACAAAGAGACAGCCACAGAACATAAATAAAGCTTCTGACATCTATTGCCACATGCAGGGAGGGGCAGAGCTAGGAGGCTGCCCACGTGCAGGGGCCAGAACTCTGTCTGGAGACTCTGAAAAGTACCTGAAAGTCAAAGCCGACCCTCTGCCCGGGCAGGCCCACTGCTGCACAGCTGTCGTGGGCGCTCACGTTGCGCCGACTGTGACCATAGGAAGGCAGCCCTGAAAACAATGCAAATGTCCTTGGGAGGGAAGAGGTAAACGTGGTATCATCATACTATGGAATATTCCACAGTTGTCAACAGGGATGAACTAACAGATCTCAAAAGCATAATGTTGAGGAGGGGGAAAAAAAAGCAGGCTGAAAAATGTTATATGTATGATAACAGTGACTCTATCTGGCAATAAAACACAACACTGTCTATTGTTTATAGATATATACCCAGAGAAAGTATGAAAACACACACTGGAAAGATGCAGATAAAACTGGTGATCTTACTAGCCCTAGGGAGGCACAGAGGCAGAATTAAGGGAGAGTGGAAAGGGAATCTAAACTTGCCTAATTTTTAAGTTCTTTTACATGAGAAAACAAATTGGACGCAAATATGAAAATGTTAAAATGGGTCTGTTTTCTGTAATTTTCTTTCATTTAACAATTTTTAAAGGGAGAAAAAAACCAAAGCCCAAAGGCCCTTTTTAATTAAAAACTTATTCAACAATTCAAGAGCAATGTCACAATTCACCTGAATAGAATCATTTAAAATAGGGCCTTTGAGGCCATTTGCTTATTAGCATAGTGGTCAAGAGACAGCTGCCACTTCTGCACTGTGTGCCCTTGGTCAGGTTTACCTCTCTGGGCCTGAGTTTCCACTGTTGTAACAGGGAGGGCTAGAATTTATCTTCCAGAGTGATTATAGAGGGAAAACAAATATAGATAAAATATATAATGCATTGAAAACAGCATGTAGTAAGCACCATTAAATATATCACTTACAAAATGATTTCTATTTTTATTCCATATTTAGAGCAATGAATATTCAGCCAAGGATAAATATTTAATCCTATATTCCTTTCTTGCATTTTCATTCATGGCCATCTCCTGGTAACAAACCAAGTACTCATTAGTATTCACGGACATTTCGCTGCTCAGGAAGTCCTTCTCTAGAAAAGGAGTATTTGCAGGTTTACATTAGACCATAAATGGAAGAAGTTCACCTCTCCTATTTGTTATGTTTTGCCTTATCTTGCCTTCTCCAAAGCTATCGAGCAGAGGGCTTTCAGCGAGAGAAGAGGGTGCTAGCTCTTCTTAAGTCACTGCTTATTAGAGAGATTGGTAACTCTTCATTATGTCCTCACATTCCTTAACAGCAGAAATAGAATTGGCTTAATTTTATCTAACCAGGGTGATAGCCCTCCCTCGGATGCCCTTTTCCAAATGCTACCGGTTAGCATGACTAAAATGACCAAAACATGTTCTGAGCGCGGCTTCAGCAGTGTGGCCGCCGGTTAAGAGTACAGGGCCTCGTTCCACGATCAGCTGTGTGGCCCCTAACCTTCAGTAGCCACACCAGTAAAACAGAGCTCATGAAGAGCACCTAGCTCGCAGAGCTTCTAGAAGAGTAGATGAGATAAGGCAAATGAGCCGTCAGCTGGTAAAGCTCAATGTGAGCTATTATTACATTTATGTTACCGTATTACATCCTTCTGTCCAGCACACACATACATACATATATTGGGTTCAGCTTAAAGGCATAGGATCAAGTCTGTAACTGAGAATAAGTGTGGATTTTTGTTTTCTGGAGAGAAGGAGAGCCCTTTAAGGGAAAGATTTCACAGACAAAATTCACAGTAAATATGAGAGATAAAAAGCTGTGGTTTTACCAAGAAGTTGTACCAGAAGTTATTTCCTGAGACACACCAAAGTGGGTTTAACTCTAGGGTGAACAGTACCACAGCATTCAAAATAATTCTCTTGAGGATAAACAGCAATGGGGAGACATTATTAGTGAGGGGAATCGCTAACGGAGAAATGGAGAAAGCTCCAGAAGGAATGCTAACTTAGAACGTATCACCTATTCTTTCCACCTGCCTTCAGTTTGCAGAGAGAGCGGAAAATCGTAATAACCACTGCTAATTCCTGAGACCTTTCTCTTTGCTGGGCACTGGACCAAGGGCGTTATAAAAATTTATTTATTTACTGCTTGTCACAGCCCCCTGAGATGGGCGCTATTAAGTACCCTGTTTTCCAGATGAGAGTCAGGCGTGGAAAGGATGGGTAATTTGCCCAAGTCACGTGACTGGCAAAGGGTCCGGCTCCGATTCACGCTCATGTGAAAGGAATCGGGAACCCTGGCTATGAACCAGCACACCTTACGCCAGGCTTCATGGCTGAAGGCGCTCTGCAGAAAATGGCACCGCCCAGCACTCATCGGATCGCTTATCTGATACGTGACAAGAAGTCACCTCAGTTCTAGGCAGGGCAGTGACGTGGTGGGACTTCAGTTCAACAAATCATTCTAGCAGCAATATGGAAAAGAGCTGCCCGAGCCTTTCCATTTTCAACAAAGGACACACCTCTTCCCAACTAACATGTTTTAATGGTTAGTTGATTTTTTAAACTGAAATAAGGCATACATAATATAAAATCTACCATTTCACCATTTATAAGTGTCCAGTTCTGCGGCACGAAGCACATTCACATTGCTGTGCACCCCTCACTATTCATTTCCAGAACTTTTCATCATCCCTGTACCTGTTACGTAACAATCTGCATTCCTTTCTTCCCCCAACCCCTTGGTAAACTCTACTCTACTTTCTGTCTCTGAATTTAACTGTTCTAGGTATCTCACATAAGCGAACTCAGACAACATTTGTCCTTTTGTGTCTGGCTTATTTCACTTAGGTTAATGTCTTTAAGGCTCATCTATGTTACAGCACGTATCAGAATTCTACTTCTTTTTAAGGCTGAATAATATTCCATTGTAGGCATATACCACAGTCCGTTAGCCCACTCATCTGTTGTGGACATTTGGGCTGTTTCCCCCTTTTGGCTACTATGGGTAATGCTGCACGAATTTTAGTAACACCCAAAATTGTACTCACACCCTCTTCTCGCCACGTCCCCCTCCCCACGCTGGGTGCAAGCCCCCTCTGAGGCTGCATCGGCCTCCCCAGTGTTCGTTAAAACATTCCTTTCTCTCTCTTTGCAGTGTCTAGTCCAGCCAGAAGAAGAGTCAAAAGTTCTCAACACCTCTTGACCAAGAATGTAAGTACAACTTCACTTTTGATCCCTTTTATTGGTTTTCAGTGCAAAAGCAGCATCTAGCTTCTTCACTCCCTCTCCCCTGCTCTCAATAACCACAAAGTTTTTCTCTATTGCTCGTCGCTGCTCTGTATTTCCTGTCTTCCACCGAAATAATTGACAAACGTCAACTAGGCAGCAAACAGCTCTGAATCAGACCCCACCGCCCCAATTCTGCCATTTTCCTCAGACACACAGAGTGAATCTCACTCTTAAAAAATTGTTCTTATTTAAAAAGAGTACGAGATGGGAACACAGCATCCCTGACCTAAGAGTTCGCCTACTGTGGGCATTTGCTATGTTCCATTATTTCACTATTTTAAATAGCAGTGCCATTAATTTATACAAAATACTCTTCTTTTGGACAGTTCCTTGGTGACTTAACAAAAGGAGGAGAATAATTTCGTTTACCATCCATCCCATATCTGCATTCTTACTATGTGGAAGAGACGCTGTGCTAGATGTGGAGAATAGTGGCTTTTTTCAAAACTGGTTTCTGCTCTCAGTTTTGTCCCACATTACCGGGAATTCTGAATGGCTGCAGGGCCTCCAGCAATGCTGTTCCATTTACCTCCAACCTCACGAACATCAACTTTCATTTTGTTGTATAATCTTTTGCTATTCTAATAAGCATATACATTACCTGAAAATTGGTTTACATGTCATTAGAGCCCAATGGTGCTGTCAATTTCACATTTTACTTACAGATTTCTTTATACAAAAACTGTCAATACATCTTTGTACTTTCATTGAAAAGGTTTAACTGCTAATTATTTCCCCTTGGTTATGCTGGAGTTTCTATCACAATTTTTGTAGAACACCATTTTGATTTTCTAAGTATCTCAATATTTTAAAGCCTTTTCCATTAAAAAGAATTTGGGAGGGGCACGTGAGTGCCTCAGTTGGTTGAGTGTCTGACTTCAGCTCAGGCCATGATCTCGCAGTTTGTGAGTTCGAGCCCCACATCAGGTCCGCTGCCATCCGTGCGGCGCCTGCTTCACATCTCGTGTCCCCTTCTCTCTCTGCTACTGCTCGCTCTCAGAAATGAATAAACATTGGGGCGCCTGGGGGGCTTAGTCGGTTAAGCGTCCGACTTTCGCTTAGGTCACGACCTCGCGGTTCGTGGGTTCGAGCCCCGCGTCGGGCTCTGTGCTGACTTCCAGCTCAGAGCCTGGAGCCTGTTTCAGAGTCTGTGACTCCCTCTCTCTCTGACCCTCCCCTGCTCACGCTGTCTCTCTCTCTCTCCTAGAAATAAATAAAACATTAAAAAAAATTTTTTTTTAAATGAGTAAGCATTAAAAAAATTTTTTAAGTGTCCTGGAAATGAGATGGGGATTTAGTCGCTGTTTTATAAACGTCTTTTTTTAATTCCCAAAGTAGTATGTGCCCATTATAAAGTTTCAAATATTATAAAATGTTCATAATATCAGAAAATTCTAAGAAGCTGTAGAACAGAACAGTTAGGTATACAGACTTTTGCGTCAAACTGCCTGGGCTTAAATTCCAGCCCTATCCATTTCTAGCTAGGTGACCCTGAGCACATCGCCCACCACACTGGGACTCCATGTGAAGGCTAAAGAACATTCAGATGGTAATACTAGGAGCACATCTCAAGAACCACTGAAGGAGCAAGGATTTAATACACGTGAAGTGCTTAGCCCCGAACCTGACACACACTGAGCAATTAGTATTGGCACTTTCTTTTTAAACTTGGTGGGTTTTTTTTTTTTTTATGTTTATTTATTTTGAGAGAGAGAAAGGGCACAAACCGGGGAGGAACACAGAGGGAGAGGGAGGGAGAGAATGCCAAGCAGGCTCCATAACGGCAGCACAGAGCCCAACTCAGGGCTGGATCTCAAGAACCTCAAGATCACAACCTGAGTGGAAATCAAGAGTCAGACGCTTAAGTGACCGAGCCACTCAGGCACTCTAGAATTGGCACTTTTTAAGTGAAAGTTTTCCATATACTAACATATCATTATTGTACTTAATTGCTCTATAACATACTGTTTTGCAATTTGCTTTTTTCACTAAATAAATCTTGAACATCTTTACATGCCAGTTAACACATACAGATCTAGCTCTTCCTTATGAAAGCTGTATACCATGCCATTATATGAATGTACTATAATTCTCTACCCAAATCAAATCTGACATCTTCTACATTATTTAACCAAATTGACAACAAATGGGGCTGCCTCTCGGTCTCTACTAAAACAATGCCACAAGCAATATCTTTGAACAGATCTTTCATGCTCTTCTGCAAATGTTTTTGAGGATAAATTCATAGATATGAAAATGTTGGATCATCAAATCAACAATTGTACGCCTTAAACTTACATAATGTTATATATTAATTATATCCAACTTTAAAGAAGAAAGCAATCCATTGCTAAAAGGACATGAACATTGAAAAAACTTTATAGTCATTGCCAAATTCTTAGCAAGTGTTTTCAAGTACTTTTACCAGAATACCTAAGCCAATAGTGTATGTCATGATGTTGTTAATCTTTGACAATCTGATAGGTGAAAAATATCTTGTTTGAATTTACATTTCTTTAATTATCAACGTCATTCTTCATCTTTTCAGGGACTTGAATATTTTTTCTCTATAGATTCCTAACTCATGTCTTCTGCCCATTTTTCTGTTGTAGGTCTTTCTAAAATGACTTGAGAATATTTTTAATGTTTTTAAATTTTATTTTTGAGAGAGACAGAGAGAGAGAGAGTGTGCGCCCACGCGAGCGTAAGCTGGGGAGGGGCAGAGAGGGAGACACAGAATCTGAAGCGGGCTCCTGGCTCTGAGCTGTCAGCACAGAGCCTGTTGCAGGACTCTAATTCACAAACCACAAGATCGCGACCTGAGCCAAAGTCAGACACTTAACCCACTGAGCTACCCAGGCGGCCCAAAAAGGGCTTTTAATGGATGGAAAATTCCTTCGTGGCAGGGCAAGAGATTCTTACCTTTTTCCTGGTCCTTGAAACTTGAGCCCACAGTCTAGAAGAAAAATCCTCCTGACTTCCAAGGAGCAGTGAGTGTTACCAAAAATTGAAAGGAAAGTTGTTGGGGCGCTCGGGTGGCTCAGTCGGTTGGGGGTCCAACTTCGGCTCAGGTCATGATCTCATGGTTCGTGGGCTCGAGCCCTGCGTCGGGCTCTGTGCTGACAGCTCAGAGCCTGGAGCCTGTCTTTCGATTCTGTGTCTCCCTCTCTCTCTGATCCTCCCCGGCTCATGCTGCCTCTCAGAAGTAAATAAAACATTAAAAAAATTTTTTTTGAAAGGGAAATTGTTGTCTGCAGGTAATTTAGAATTTAAGAAAAGTTTCACAACACACTTTTCACTCAAGAGGCATCTGGATTTGAAGGAGCCACAAATGATTCATGATTCAGAGCAGATACCTTGAGAACTAGGAATCTTTAGTTCTCAGCCAAGTTCTGGCTTTGATTTTCTACCCTTAAACAATGTTCCTGTCTGAATCACTCCCAATACCAATACCTACTGGCTTTATAATGATAGAACAGTATTTACAAAAGCTCTTAAAATGGAAACTAAATCATTATACTTTCTAACAGTTAAAGAGGGTGCTAGGGAAGAAACTTCTCAGATTTAGAACCTAAATAAAGGAGACAACTCTCAGTGGTGATGATGAAGCCACATGGGCCTGAGATACACAAAGCAACCAAAACATGGGGCACAGTCTCCTGGAATATCCAACTGACTTCAACTGGGCACTATAGGACCATGCTCAAGGTTCCTGGGAGTGAGAAACACGGTCAGGTTTATGGTTTAAAGCACTTTCCCTCCCCAAAAGATTTTTACTCAGAGAAAAAAAATGACTCAAGTATATGAATCCATATTAAAATTTGTTTTCAATTAAAAAAATAAAATCGAAAGCTAGGGTCTTGCCTTCAACTATTCAGTCTTTCTCCAGGTAAGACAAGTTAATAAGACCCTCTGTCCTATGAGCTCTTCTCTAAGTTTCTCACTTCCGCTAACAGCCTGACTCATCCTCTGCTTACAGAACTTAGGCTAGCTGTACAGAGCATTCAAATTAGAAAAGACAAGAAAGAAAGGTCTTAGTCTACCTAAGGGGGAAAGTGAGTCCTAAAGAAAGAACTGTCTCTGATTTGTTGTTTCTTCATCCAATGGGCTCTTGGCTTCCCTTTGAGTACCCAAGAAAAAGAGTATTTTGCAATTGCTCAAAGCTACCAATGTCCAGGACTTTCTTTGTCCTGGAATTCTTACTAGTGTCTACTGCCAGTCCTTGGGCTACACCCGGAGTCAGCTTCCTTCCTTTACAAACAGCTCTCCTCTCGAGGCCATCCTTCGTGTCGCGCACCACTAAGGTGTGTCAGTTAGGCCTCGTAGAACAAGGCGAGCCACTGCCGCCCACTGCCAGTCCCGGAACAACGAGCGGTGTTAAGTACCACCGCCAGGAAGGATGGAGGAAGGGACGCGCGCATGTCACGTTCTTCCCAGATTTCAACCCTGCTGGGGAGAAACTGGTCTAGAAATCTACTGATTTTTCAAAATGCACTGAGCAATCACGTGTACTTGAAATTTCTTATCTGGCTGTAGGCATTTCTACAGGTTTTACAAAAAGCACTCACTTAAAAGTCATGAAATCACAGCTCTCAGCCTGGCTCTGCCCCTCACAGCTCTCGAAGGGGCACATGATCTCTCTTGGCCTCAGCTTCCCTACGGAGAAAGCTAGGCAGTTGGCTAGAACATTGCTGTGGAGCCCAACAGCCCCAAATCATGATGTGTCCCCGTCATTTAGGTCTCACCTGTCTTTCCAGTTCCCTGCAGCCCCCTAGACTTCAAACAGAAGTGTGAACTGAAGAAGGCTGGAATCCTGAGGCTTCCGTACTGGCCCTTGCCTTCTGGTCTTCCAGTCCCTGACCCAAGACCCCCGGGGGTCATCAGCCCACCGCACTAGGACATTCCCTACTTTCAGAAGGCAGTTTGCTGACTGGGGAAGGAGAATCCAGCATGTAGCCTCGCCTCTCCCTCCCCTCTGCCCGTCGCACGGCCTTACCCCCGTACTCAGTGCTAAAGAGCCTGCTCTGCCCGTCGCCCGGCCTAACCCCCGTACTTATAGCCTTATTTGCTTCAGCACCCTCCAAAAGCGGCACAGTTGTCCGTGTGGACAACTGAGGGGACCTGTCGCAGGCTGGACTGCGGGGCTGAGGCGGGTCCACCTAACGCTCAGATGCACCCAGTGCCAGGACCCGGCACCCAGCCGCCCTCGCAGGGTGTCTGCTGAGGGCGCAGGAGGTTGGGGGCGCTAACCCGCAGAGGCCGCCCATCCTCCTGAGATGCTAACCAGCTTCCAGAGCTGAAGAAATTCATAGGAATGACCCCAATGTCCTAGATGTGTATATATATATACACAACTGTGCGGGATATGAGCCAAAGACTCCTGGTTTTACGATAAAGTACGGTATTATCTGTCTCAAGTTTCTACATTTAAATTATTTCCATGATTTCAGTATGTTTATTATAACCTAAGGCCCATGTTGGTGGGTCCGGACAAAAGGGGTGTTTCCTCTGAACGTACTTCCCGAGGTGACTGCTCGGCAGGTGGTTCCCGTGACTGAAGCCACCTCGGCTCCCAGCAACCCGCCCGGCTGTCAGGGCCGCAGGGACAGCGCACACGCTGCCAGCTCACCCGGGAAGGCTGGCGCAGGCCTTCTGCGGGGGGGGTGCGGGGGTGCGGGGGGGGTGCGGGGTGCGAGGGGTGCGGGCGGGGGGGTGCGGGGGGCTGCTGGTCCCTGGCGCAGGCCTTCTGCGGGGGGGCTGCTCCGTCTCGCCCGCAGCGTCGCGGGCCTCGGGCCCTGCCCCTCGCCGGCCCCTCCGTGGCGCTCAGGACGCCGTCCTGTGCGCACACAGGGTGTCTGCCCGTGGCAAAGGCTGGACGACCCTGATTTCCAGAACCTTCCTCGCTTCACAGAGCCGGTTCTGTTGCCCTGACGGCTCAGGCCGCCGACTGTGACGGGCCCGCCGGTGAGGAGCCCCCACCTTCGCCGGGGTGCGCCCGGCACCCCTGGGCGCGCCGGCGTCACGCGCACCGCGGGGCTGGCGGAGGCCGGTCACCCGCGCCCGGCACTCGCCCCCCGCGGGGGAGGCCCCGGGAGCCCCCTCGGCCCGGGGCGCGCCCGACGCCCGAGGGAGGGGCCGGCCCGGCTGACTGTGCTTCGTCCCCCGGCAGGTGGGCGCCGAGTCGGACCTCCGCGCGCCGCGGGCCCTGGAGCCGCTGCCGCGCCGCAGCGACCGCCGCGACGGCGAGGGCCGCAGGCCGGGCCGGCCCCAGCTCGCCAAGGCGGCGGCCAGACCCGGTACGTGCGCCCTGGATGCGTCCCTGCACCCTCCCGGGGGGGGCGGGGGGCACTGACGCGCCTACACCGGCCGCCGCCGCGTCCCCAGGGTCCCGGCCTGGCGCGCGCTCTGACCGCCGGGCGCCCTCCGTCCGCCAGGGCAGCGCAGCGCCTGCTCCCGGGCCCCCCTCCGCCCACGGCTGCACCGCCAAACCCCCTCCACCTGCAGACACTCCTGACTGTGCCCCGAGCAAAGATGCTTTCATCCACCATCTTGGTCCAAAGCAAGCCCTGCTGGATTCAAGAGGAGATGAAAACCATTATGTTCTGGGGCAGAAAGAACCAGTGTAGACATGACTCATGAAGAAACAGAAGCTTACGTTATACATTTTACAGGCTGTGTGTGTAATTATACAGTCTCTTCACAAACTGCCATCTGAAGAGCTCAGCACTGTAAATGTGAATGACTTAGGGCTATTTCAACAATCTCTAAAAAGAATTTAGGGATAAACTTATTTTGAAAACTGGAAACATTATAGTCTTAACCTTCAGCACTATTTTTAAAAATGGCTTCCACCCCAAGCAGTTAAACAGGAATCTGCATCTAGCCCACTGAAGTCTGTGATGGTATTTCACCTTCAGTCGTTGGTTTATTTATGTTATGTCTGCAGCCCAAAGTAATTCATAATTTAACTCCAAAAATACACAATAGAAAGTCTGGGATGTCCTTCTCAAGGCTTTTCAGTGTCAATTTTATATAAGAACTGAAATAATACATCATGGAAGATATCTCTTTATCTATCCAGCTTCTCTCTCCATAGATGCTTGACTGGATCTCTAAGGTTTCTTTGCTCACTAACACCCTGATCCTGTTTTTATGATCTTACATATAATCACGCAAAGATCAAGCTATATTCTCCAGCTAAGTGATTACAAATACACATATGTAATGTAGAGTGAAAGCATTAGGAAAACCACAATCTGCCTTGCAAATTAAGAGGAGATAAATTTTTCTGTGTCTATATATAGGTGGGTGGGTGGGTGGGTGCATGTGTGTGTAGAAAGAGAAAAAGAGACTGTCTTCGCTACAAAATCATAAAGTGAACTGATAGCCATATTTCTCAAATTTTAATGTGCAAAAGAATCACCTGGGAATCTTGTTTTCATGCAGATTTTAATTCAGTAGGACTGAGTAGGGCCCCAGATCTTATGTTTCTAAGAAGCTTCCCTGTGATGTTAATGATGTTGGTCTGAGGACAATATTGATTAGCAAGGATTTAGAGATGGTCTAATGGGTGGCTCTCGAAGTGGGGTCTCCAGAACAGCAGAATCACCTGGGAACTTGCTGGAAATGCACATTTAAGATCCCACCTAAGACTTATTGAATCAAATTCTGGGCTAGGACCCAGCAATCTCTCTCTCTTTTTTTTTTTATATATATAGTTTATTTTTGAGACAGAGAGAGACAGAGCACGGGTGAGGGAGGGGCAGAGAGAGAGGAAGACACAGAATCTGAAACAGGCTCCAGGCTCTGAGCTGTCAGCACAGAGCCTGATGTGGGGCTCGAACCCATGATCCATGAGATCTGACCTGAGCCGAAGTCGGACGCTTAACCAACTGAGCCACCCAGGCGCCCCAAGACCCAGCAATCTCTGATTTAACAAGCCCCCCAAGTGATTCTAATGCACACTGAAGGTAGAGAACACTGATCTGCAGCCACCCCAGGCCCGTTTACAGAAAAGGAAACTGAAACCATAGAAACTGACTCAAAGTCACACTGCTTATTAGCAATAGAACTGAGAGTAAATCTTGGGTCTTCTAATTTCCTAGCTAAGGCTTCCATCCCCCCCTATTCCCTACCCGTAGAGAACAATGTCTTCCCAAATGTCTAGCTTCAGGGGCCACTTTCCTTCCTAAGTGGCCTGTGGAAGCTTAACTGCCCTAGTCGGTCTTTTATTCTGAAAGAAAACAGTAAGTCATGAAATCGAGAGAATCTGCCCAACATGTGACAGTCAGCTCATGCAGGGAATGTGCTAGTCAGGTTAAAAAAAAAAAAAAAAAAAGATTGAGCTGGGCATGGATTCAATTCCTTCAGCTCCCCCAGTCTGATAGATTCCGGAGGGGGTTGGGGGAGACAGAAGGTTTCTGAGTCAAAGCTAGACCCAGTACTTTCCACGGGAAATGCTTGGCATTGGCCTTGGGCGATGAGTCTTCCTTCCTCCCATCAGAAGTACGTGTGTCCCCAGGAATGTCAGAGCTGGGGCCCTGCTGCCTTTCGGAGCCATAGGAGAAGGCTCCTGGATGGTACGGCCTTCTCACATGGGAGGAAGGTTCTCTGAGGAATCTCAGAAATTCCAGGGGCTCTGAAAGAGGAGGAAGAGGCCTCCACCATGAGGCCCTGAGCAGGTGAGCGTCAGGTGCCCGGAATGGCGGCACCCACCTCCTGGGCCTGAGAGAATTGGCTGCCTGTGGAATGTCTCCACCAAGATGACCTCAGGCACCTGAGAAGCAACTTGTTTCAATGGAATGCGCCCTCCTCCTTCAAACCTCTCTTCTTTCAAGTAGGATATTTTCCTTAACATCCCCTTGGTCTTCCTCACCCCCACTCCACCCACCGCGCCACATACTAAATACCGACAATGTCAGTTCCTCTCTCTGTCTCATCTCTTCCTCTTGGCACCTACCTCAGGCTCCCTGGACCCCTTCATCCCGGGTGTGTAGCACCCACGCTGGCCCTCAGCCACCACTCCCGCTCCCTCTACAAGGCTTCCAGAGGGGTCCTTCTAAAGCCGAACTCTGCCTCCGCCTTCCTTCGATGTCAAACAGTGTCCTTCCCGTCCGCACGCCCCCCCCCATGTCGAACAGTGTCCTTCCCGTCCGCACGCCCCCCCCGATGTCAAACAGTGTCCTTCCCGTCCGCGCGCCCCCCCCGCAGACCGTGCCCGAGGCCCCCCCCAGAACCCACCCTCTGCTGACCTCTCCCCGGCTGCCTCCTGTGACACTGCGGTCCCTGCCCGTCCCTACACACAGCAGCGCGGAGCTGTGCCGTGATCCTGTGACTACTTCCCCGTATTCACTTTCCCAGACCTTCCCTGACCCCGCCCACCCTGTGGCCTGCCCTCCTGTCTCTCCACCCGGCAGACGCCTCCCAGAGTCGCTCAGCCAAGTCCCCATCCTGCCAGACTCCTAAGGCGGTCTGCCCTCCTAGACCGGCCTCACCCGGCTCCCTCCCTTATGGAGCCCCAAAGCCTCCACTTCCCCGTCTAGAAAGTGGGGACTATCGTGATATGTACCTGACGGGGTTATGGTAAGGACCACATGAGGCGGTGTTTATGTGCTTCATGCTCAGCAGTGTCTGACACAGTAAATACTCAGAAATACGAACTACTGTTATGCCAGAGCACTGTACGTTATGATGTCATCTTGGCAATCTTGTGACTTCATTTTATTGGCAGGGAAATGTTTCCTTCCTTGGGCTGGGGAGTGTTTGACCTCCATTCACTGCGGTGTGAAGGATGGGGCCTGTCCTGGAATGTCTGCCCGAGGAGAGGACTGTATGGAAAGCCAACCTGCCCCCGCCTATTATCTGCTACCTCAGCTCAACACCTTGGTTCTCAGAAGCTGCAGACGTCAGGGTAGAGATTACTCAGAAGTAGGTGGGGCCTTAGGAACAAGGGCCCAACGAGAAGTTTCTCAAGTGTCTTCCACAGTCAATGACTCAGAACTCCGATAACCTCTAACCCTCCCACCTTCTGAAGCCGTGCTTCCCACTGTGGGCAAGACATCGCTGGCTCATCTCCCCGCAGGGATGTGCAGGCGCAGCAGGTGGAATAGATCCCAGCTGCAAAGACTTAACCCCTGACAACCGATGAGCTAAGGGCACGTTCTCTGAGCACCTACTGCATACAGACACAGTACCAAATGCTCGCACACACATGATCTCATTAGACCTTAGTTTCAGCCCCTGGAGGGGCGCCAGGAGTGCAGATTACCCACTCGACGGTTGCCCCACTGCCTGCCCTACTGCCTGATTTTGCTGCTGGGTATGAAGACCTTTAGAAATTCCTAGCTTGTGACCGGCTAGCTAGGCTCACTGGCGCAGAGTGAGGGGAAGTTGAACACCCAGTACCACTGACCAGTGCCTCCTCTTTTCAACCTTGCAGTGGGGATTTCGGAACCCAGATCATCAAATCTGTGTGGGAATCGAGCATATGGAAAATCTTTGGTGAGTAAAATAGTAAAATAAGCCCGGCTACTTACACCCATTGTGCTTCAAGCTTCTTGCCTTGCCCTTGGCTCCAGGCCTGAAGACACTCAGCAGAGCCTCCCTGAGGGCTCTTTGCTCCTCAGGTCTGTCACCTCATGGCGCACCACTGGATGCTGTTCTTTCTTGCCAGAAGTTCAGCTCTTTGGCAAACAGAAGGTATCATCTAGTGGACACCTCAGACATGGGGGGGAAAGCAGTGGTTCCGAAGGTAGGCACCTGCCAGGTGGAAACGCCTGACTGATGCCCAGGGGCAGCTGCAGGGGTAAAGGCATGTAAGGGTCTTGAAGGCCGTGAAAACACAGAACCCCAGCCATCTTCGGTCCGGACGGCCCTGGAGGACATCTGCTCCAGGTCAGGTTTTCTGGAAGCAGACTCAGATGTGGGGTATGGGTATGAGATGTACATTAGGGGTCAATACCTGTGACAGGAGAAGGGAGGTAGCATTGAGCAGAGACAACTGCTAAACCACCATGCACACCTGATACCTCCTGGCAGGAGCCCAGGGGCAAGGGTTACCCCCCAGACTGTCCTGAGTTGGGTACAACTGGCCAAGCCTTTGTTTCTTCCTTGCTTTGTCATGGTATGCGGGCTACCCCGGTGGAGTAGGGGTTGGGGGCTGCGGGGAGGGCATCCCCTGGGGTGAGAGGCCCTCTGAACCCTAGGCCCACCCAAAGGAGCCTTTGCCGCCTGCCCCCTAGCAGTTGGGCAGCTCGTCTTTCCCAGAAGGAGGTCAGATGGTGCATGTCCGGATCTAGCCCAGGGTCACTCTGAAAAGACCCCATCTCCGTTGTTTTCTTTTGGGCACGAATGTGGGTACTCTGGGTTAGCACAGTAGGGAGGGAATTTTGGCTAGAGGTGAGGTCAGCTCAGGCGTCCTGGGCTGTACGAGCATCAGCTTTCCAGACTGATGGATCATGCCACGTGAGGACCAGAAAAGCCATTGGAGGTTGTGTGGGCCAGGCCCCTCGTCCTTAAGGAACAAACCGGGCAGTGAGCACTATCACTCTAAGTCTGAGCAGTAAGATCTAATCTAAATACGTCACTTAGGTCATCTCTGTACTAGGAAAACTCCACAAAGGGCAGGGTTGGAACAAGCTGGTTCATCAGGAGCCCCCTGCCCCAACCCAGGGCTCACGAGACGCTGAAGATGGCTGAGGCCCGGCCAGGAAGCGCAGACCGTCGGGCCACAGCTGCCCTCAGCTGAGCCCGGAAAAGGCCAAGGTTAAGGGGAAGGGGGTGGCTCACCGCCTCGGACTACCTGCCCCTAGACTGTGGGCTGCAGTCAGACGGTACCCTTGGCAGAGAGGTAACTGCGTTTGGGCGGCCAGGAGTTGAGCGGGATGGGGTGGTGACCGGGCCACGCTACAGAGGAGGAGGGCGAGCCTGTGCGGAGCCCGAGGCCGCAGGGCAGCATGACTGACCCCTGCCTCCAAGCCTGAGACGTGCTGCTGGGGTCACGCAGCTAGCTCTTTGGAGGCCCCTTATCCTGGGGGTGCGGGGGTGGGGGCTGGGGGGGGAGAGTGACTCAGTGCTGCGAGCGCTGGAGGAGAACAGGGCAGCGGAGGAGGGTGCGTCCCGTCGGGCCGGGCGTCGGCACGAGGGGCAGGAGAGCCCCCGGGAGGCCACCAGGTGGCACAGTAACTCTGCCCACGGCCTCTGGCCGCTCAGGAGAGAGGGCGGCCAGGGATCGCGATGTCCTTGACCTGGAATTTCCCAGCAATTCCAGGAATGTGGTGACCCTGAACCTTCCGTGGGGCTGGGGTGAAGGAGCAAACATAGCACATGCCCAGGGCCGGGGCGAAGTCTGCAGGTAGCCCTGGGAGGCCGTCAGCTGTCACCTACGGTTGCATTCAGTCCGTGCTTCTTGAGCGCTGGCCGCCTCCGTCGGGAGGGCTGCGCGGCCAGGCCGGCACACCCCGCGCCGCGTTTGGGGGGATCAGGACACTAGACAAGCACACGGAACAAAACGAGAACAGTAGAGAGAGAACTGGTGAAATGCCAGGACATGTCACCTGGGTGCTCAGTGCTGCAGGGACGGGGGACAAACCGTCTCGGGCCACCAGCCTGAGGCAAGACTTCCGGAAGAAGACGTGGCCTTGAGGCGCGGGCGGAGACGAGGCTCAGTCCGGAGAGTGAAGGAAAGGCCGAGGGAGGGTGCAGAGCTGCCCCGAGGCCGAGCACGGGCAGGAGCGGCCCCCCCCCCGCCCCCGGGACCGGGTGTCGGGGTGCCCACAGGCGTCCCAGGAGGCGGAGCCGGGGGGGGGGGGGCTGGCCGCAGCGGGGGGGGGCTGGGGGGTGGGGGCCCGGGTGGAAGCGGGGGGGCTGGGGGGGGGGGCCCGGGTGGAAGCGGGGGGGCTGGGGGGTGGGGGCCCGGGTGGAAGCGGGGGTCCGGTGGCGGGAAATGGCGGGGACTTGCAGGGCTGGACAGCGAGTGGGCCCGGGCCGCGCGAGCGTGCGGGACGAAGCCCCCAGGCAAGGCGGAGCTGCGCTCTCTACCAGGGCCTCGGGGGCGCTGGTTCTTAACGCGGGTTCCCGGGACTCGGCGCCCAGGAACCCGCCGCAAGTGCGGGCCCTCGGGCGTGATCAGACCTCCGGGATCCGGAGCCGGGGAAGGCCCCGCGGAGGAAGCCGGGTCGTCCCGGGCGCCGGACGGGTCCGGTCCCCCCCCCCCCCCCCCCGGCAGTGGCAGCGCGGGGGCCGCGGCCGCCGCCTCACACGCCCTTCCCGTCCTCACACGCAGGTGCCTGCGGTGGCCCGGATCCCCGTGAAGGCCCCGGCCGCGCGGGAGGCGACGGCCGCAGGCTCGCAGGGCGCAGCGGGTCCGGCGAGAGGGTGAGTGCCGCGCCCACGCGGGCCCCCGGGGCGCTGCGAGACCCGCGCGGCTCTGAATTACGTTGTAAGGAGCGCGCGCTCCCGGGGCCCCGCGGCGCCGCATCAGCCGGTCCGGGCGTCGGCTGCAGCGTTTCCGACGGCTTCCACCTCATTAGCACCGCTCCGTAGGCTCGGAGAAGTGTCATTTGGGAGGGTTTGGGGTTAATTAGATAAATGTAACTACAGGCCATGCCGAGAGCCTGCCGGCAGGCGCGCTGGCCTCCGAAACGCTTCATAAATGAGGTTCAGGGCGCCCGCCCCAAGGCGAAGCAGCGCGTAAGGTACAGAAGCTTCAGGCCGAGCTTGTAGCCCCCACGATCCCGCGGTTAACTCCGATCCAGAACCAGCAGCTGGAACAGGAGGGAAACCCCCCGGGGCCCCCTCCCTGCCTTCAGTGCTGCACCAAGAAGACGGAAGGCGCGTGTGCAAAACCCAAGTGCACACGGACACTCATGGCCCTGCCGCCATGCCCCATCGTGCACGCAGCAGAAGAGAGGGCTCGGGGGTGCTGAATGGTGTCCCCTGCTTGAGGGCAAAAGTGAAGTGTGGCTCAGTGAAATGACTGTCCTCCCCGCCCCGCCCCCGGCTTTTCGCCTTAGATCCAGACGTCTCAAGAAGGTGACCGAAGAGTACCCGGCCCTTCCCCAGGGAGCAGAAGCCTCCTTACCGCTGACAGGAAGCGCCTCCTGCGGCGTCCCTAGCATCCTCCGGAGAATGTGGACAAGGCACAAGAAGAAGTCTGACTACGTGGGAGCGACCAACAGCGCCTTTGAGGCTGACTAACGGTGACCTCCCCGGGGCCCTGCGTTGGCCAAAGTCCAGTATTCAAGGGGAGGAAACTTCCAGATGGGAACTGAGCCACCTTCACCTCTGCTAGTAGCTGGTCCAAACACATGACCGCCCCTTACTAACCAACAGCCGTGGCTTAGGATGCAGGCAAGGAACTTCCCTCGAAGGCAAAAGAAAAGTGTGCCTTTTTAGAATCAATGAAGCCATTGGTCTGAAAGTGGCTTTGGGAGGTCATGGAGTTTATATCCCGATCTTTCAGCAAGACCACACCACAGTCAAATTTCCTCAGCCCATTTTAAAGACCTCCAAGGAAGGACGCCGGCAATTCCGCAGTCCTCCTTGCGAGTTGTTCTAATGTGAGCGATTTCCGCTATAAATATAAAAGCTTGATGTTTGAGGCACTTGTGAACACAGTGGTTCTTCTTATTCTGCTTCCCACATTGATTTCATCTTGACAAAGTACAATTTTTGATGACAGAGCACTATATATTTACTTCTAGGATCCATTCGACAGTATTGTCAAGATTGGTATCGATCACTTGGCATGATTGCATGAACCCTCTATTCTTTTACGTGCAGTTTTTCTATAGAAAAACGTTAAAAATTAAATGTTGAATGCTAATGTTTTCTGAAGTTGCATAGACTAGTGAAGTTAATAATACCTTGCATTGGTATAACGATTTTAACTTTTGAAGTATTTCCCCATCCATTATCTTTTATCTGCGCAAAATTCCTGTTAAAGAAAGCACAATTATTGCCAATCTACAGATGGGGCAGCTAAGGCCTTAGGAAGTTATGTGACTGGATACGGTTAGTGGTATTAGATACTAGGTCCTCAAGTCCACCAGACTCCTTCCGGTGCCTACTCTAGCGACTGATTAGAGGAGGGTTTTGAGGAACAGGAGTATGTCTCTGGGGGTCAATGCTTGGAAGGAAAAATTTGATAAAGTTGGAAAGAGTAAGTGACTTAAATGAAATACATCATTCTGTATTAGGTTGAACTATAAGAAATTGCCGTTTCTATCGGTCAAAAACGATTAGTTCATATGGCTCAACCTAATATCTAATATTGTGCTTTCCCTCTCTTAATGGAAATGTCGTCAATCCCATCTTTAGTATCAATAGACTTACGATGATAATGTGATGATGACAGCTCTCATTTATTAAATGCCTACCATGGGCCAGACGTGACACTGAGCACTTTACATACATCCTCTCTTTCTTTCTAACAACTCGGAGTTAGATGGCCTTATCCAGCTAATGGATGACCGTTTAAAGCAGTTACATGGCTAGTCTGAAGGTGCCTGACCCATATGGGTGTCAGGCTTCAGTGCCCATGCTTGTATACACAGAATAGTCCACACAGCACACACAGAATAGTTCAGACACAGAGCGGGACCTCGGTTAGCAAACAGTCTTCTCAAGTGCTCCCCACCGATGACGACGGGCAGAGGCTGTCGGAGCGCTGTGTGGGGGCGAGTGTGAGATGAAGGAGTGCAGTGCTCAGTTAGAAGCGCCTGTCCGTGGAGGGCGCTAGAGGCACATATCCTGCATATTTGTCATGTGTAGCGTCAACTCTGCCCCCCAGAAGGCTGGTTTTCTAATCCAGAAGCTTCAACTAATCCAACCCATTTAGCAAAAGCAGCCCCTCCATGATGAGACTGAAGTCGAAGAGTGGGCTGGAAATTGTCGGGTCTGGGTAATCCGGCTGCATCGCCAGTCTCCGACTCCATGGTTGTTCATAGGCTGCTGCTCGGTGGCTACATGTGGCCTTTTGCTGAACTTGTTTCCATGTCTCCAGGTGAACTGAAAGGAGGCCTAGAGGGATGAGAGGCCTGGGCTTCTGGGCTTTCACCTTGCTGATCCCTGCCCTTCAGCCATTGTTTTAGACTCCTGGCGCCCGTTCCTCACGTTGGAACATCATTTGGAGATTTGGGCATCGAGCGCTCTTTCAATGAGGGCCTAGTCTCAAGGGACTAATAGTGTTGCACAGTACAGATGACGGGGCCTGGAACGCAGTTAGGAAGCAGGCGGGTGATTTATGCTGGACCTATCAGAGTATCCCCAAGACTATTTATTTTAACTTAGTAATTTATAGCTGATGTTTTCTATTTGTATGTGGCACCTGGAGATATCTTTAGGATGGAACTAACTTATTTTTAATTTAAATATTTCATGATGCAGTGTTTGCCTTGCATAAAACATCCTAACTGACCAGTTCAAATAAAAATAAAGTATGCTCTGTTTGTGACCTCAATAAAGCACCGCAAGAGTATGGGGCTCCCTCATTGAATGAGAGAAGGCTTTCACCAAGGGAACAAATTATAAGCCCGGACCTCATTGCTCCTTTGCCTAAATGAAAAGGATTGTGAGAAAGAATCCAGAATGTTCTTTCCATCCTAAGGCAGTGTCTGGTTTTGATATTACAGGCCCTGCCCAACAGCCAACACCAGAGCCATTTCTGACAGGGCTTGGCCTCGCATGACGGGTCCTCTCCGGGCTCGCCCTCCTCCCTGATCCTGATCCCTCAGTCCCCAGCCTAAAGCCCAGGGGGGCGCGCGGCCATCCCAGCCTGCAGGCCTCTCACTGCCCTCTGAGGCCAGGGAAGAAGGGCCTCTCTCCTCCGTGCCCACCTCCCGCTCGGCCTCGCTGCACACTGCCCTGTGCCTCACGGCGCAGCCACTTGCAGGATGCCAGCTGCAGACTGCTGTCCAGGACGCCCGAGTCCGGAGCCTTCCTGCGCCAGAGGCAACAGGGCTTCCAGGACATTTAGGGTAATAAAATCGCCTCTGTTAGGACCAAGTCCAGTCAAATATTTCAGTGCTTACTTGTGTGCGCTTTCCGGGCGCCCGCCCCTCCCGATACTTGGGCTGCCTTCCGAGCAGGCAGATGGGCAGTGGGCAGGCAGAGCAGCGCAGCCAGGGCCCGGTTTTAAAAGGAATCATGTGACGTGTTGTCTCTGACTCTAAATGGGCAAGGGCCTGGGGACAAGCAAGGAAAACACGCGAAGACAACTCGCCTAAGGACTCTAATCCTTAGGAATTGCATTCCGTTTTTAATGTAAGAAATGCCAGCCTCTGTTGGGAGGCCGGTGGGGAGTGCATTGCCAAGGCGCCCAGGAAGAGATTTCGTTCTGCAGACGGGCCACGTGCCTAGAAAAAACGTCTTTATTTCGGGGTGTTTTTTTGGTCACTTTGGACCTGGCCGAAGACCCACACCTATCACATCCTTTGTTGGGAGGGAGCGTGCCGTCCGGGGACGGGCACGTGCCACCACGGGAGGGGCAGCAGGGGAAAGCAGGCCCCGCCGGCCCGGTGCCGGCCCCTCGTCGGGGTCTGGGGGGAAACCAAGCAGGGACTCACAGCACTCCACACCGAGTCCTGCCCACACCCTGGCACCTCTGGAGGCCCCGTAAGTGCTGGGCAGGCTGTCGGGCACAGGCTGCCCTGAGGCCAACCTCCCCTCCCCAGGGGCCGGCGGCCGGGCCTGGGCCTGAGAGCCTAGGAAGGGGCTGTGCTTCTCCAGGAAGACCGGGGGAGGGGGAATCCGGATCCGGCCCGACCCCGGGGCCCTGGAACTCGGGGCAAGCGCCGATCCACGCTGCAGACCCCGCCCACGGAAGGCCAAATGGAGCTTCCTCCCCTTGGGCAACCTGGGCCCCAGCCGTGCTTCAGAGCGAGGCCCTTACTCCCGCCCTCCGCAGCGCGCAGGATGCCAGCAGCCTGGCAGCTGCGGGGGCGGCGCTGGGCGTCGGGGGGAGTCAGCGGCCCCCCCTGAACGAGAGCTAGTTCTGAACTCCAAGGCCACAGCTAGTGCTCCAGGGTGATCACACTCGGTGACACACACACACACACACACACACACCCATCCGCCCCGGGGTCCCACTCCTGTCCCACAAAGGGCCTCCCACCTTGGACACCCCATCACCCCATGCTCTAAACTACAACTGCCGGAAGCTCCCGAGCTGTGGGGCCTGAGAAGCTGCTGAACCTCACGGAGACGGTCTCCTCGGCTCGACCTCCCTCCAAACGTCCCAGAGAAGACTGAACAAGGTTGCTGGCGTGAAGACACAACGGTGCGCGCGGAAGAACCGAGCGGCTCCCCACCAGCCGGCGACGCCGGGGCCCAGGGCCCCCCGCCCCCCCGGGTTCCCGAGGACCCTCCCTCCCCGGGGCCGAGCAGCTGGGCGACGCGGGGCGCTCCGGGGTGACCCCCGTCCGTCCTCGCTGCCTGTCCGCTCAGACTGTGCCGGTTGTTAACACTTTACACTTCCTCCTGCAGACTGATAACCTTAAAAAATACAACTGCAGGCTCTTTTACTAGCAAAAATACGTTTACTCAGGAATCGCAGAGCACCGCGGCCTGAGGCGAACGCCAAAGGCCACTCCAGCGAACGAGCAACACCGCTCTTTTATAGGAGGCCGCCGTTATAACCAGCAAGCCCATTGGCGCGACCTGAGACTTTGCAGTATGCTGGCCTCCCATTGGCTGAGCTGGGACTGCCTCTCATTGGCTGGGCTGTTGCGGAGGGCGGGAAAAAGCTTTCCCTCCTGCTCTGGCGGTAGCGTGGTGGGGCCCGGAAGCCGAACCCGCCTTTTCCTACTGAATTTACAGTTGGTGAGACGTGGGAGGGTGTGAGACCCTCCCCGCTGAACCCCCTGACTCCGTTTTATTTTCACAAGACCGTGGGTTTGAATATGGCTTTCTTGTAAGTTGGCGCCTAGACTACACACTTGTAAGGTGAGCTGAGGTCTGGGGCGATGGCCCTGTAAACCGTTGTGCATCGTCTGTGCCTTCGGAGAGGGAAGGAAGGGGGACGGATTTCCCAGGAACCTGGAGGTGAGGTGAAAGGAGTGGGTGTCTAGAAAGGGCTCCTCATGGGGAGCGAAATTCAGGCTACTTGGTCTCTAGTCCAGCTTATCCGCCACCAGCATTTAAATGCCTCGGATCCAAAGTGCGATGCTCCCCAGAAGCAAACGTCGTCCACCAAGAAGAAGAGACGCGGCCGTCACAGGTGGCCTGCAGGGGCCGTGAACTCACGGACAGCTGCGTGGCAGGGCTGAGCCCGACTCCAGAGACGAAGCCTAGTTCTTAGGACTCAACTCCACACCGACTTGCTTGTGCCTGTGTGTCTGTGTGTATTGTTGATCAAGCTGCCTGGGCTTCTGTGAGCCTCCATTGTTGCTCATCTGTGAGACACGGATTAAATTACCTGCCAGGTGGACCTCACAGGCTGATGCAAGATTAGGAAAGAGCTGGTGCATAAAAAGGCTTTATAAATTGTGAATTGCTCTTCTGACATATGGTGTTATGCTAATCCACTCCATTCAGAAAGAAACAGAGCTGGGAGTGAGGAGAAGTGACTCAGGAAGCTCAAGACCGGAATGAGGGCTGAAGAGCTAGTCAGCAGCCTAAAATAGAATCATGTTCAGAGCCTGGGGCCAGACTGCGGGGCCAGGCCCACCAGCAGCTGGCAGCCAGGAGCTCCCAGCTGGCAGCGGCCCAGGCTCCCTGCTCCCTCGGTGAGGCCCGTGGGGCCAGGGCCTGCAGCCCGAGGTAGCCGTGCCCTGGCCAGGTCAGTGCAGGCCAGTGGCTGCCGGCTCACAGGCAGGAACGGAGGGCAGTGACAACGCCAGTGACTTCACCGTGAGTTCAAACGGCTTTCCCTCTCTAGATGTCCCCTCGCTGCCAAATGCTGCCCTGGCCTCTCGCCCATATTCCCTACCGGCGAAATTAGCCTGCAAATGAAACCTACAAAGTACATTGGCCCGGGAGACCACAGGCCCTGCCCACATGCTCCCGCTCCAGGAGGGAAGCTGGCGCCTGCCCATCCTGCCCCAGCCATGCTCCAGCCCTTTTGTTCCAAGGCCGGTAACGGACGCCCGTACGCAAAGGACTAAAGACCGAAGACCTACTGAGGGATTGGGATCCGGAGGCGAGCCTGCCTGCTTGGACGTAACTAGGCAGGGATCTGATGTTTCACAAACAAACACTGCTCCAAGGCATTCCTGCTGCTGGCTCAGGCCAAGGAAAGCAAGGTAATAAGTCAGGAACAGTGATCTCATCAGGAAAGCAGGCTCCCCAGTGTCTCACACAAACCCCACATCCCTAGATGACCCAGGAGACTGTTTGTCAAGAAAAGTCCCAGAGACGCCTACCCTGTAGAATGAGCAGGTGGCCAGTCTGGAAGTAGACTGCGAGCAGGGAGGGAACTTTTTTTCCTACTATCTGGAGAAACCACCATTCCAGGGCAGAGGGGTAGGGACTGGAGGCTGGGTGGGGGGAGGGGGGCAAGAAAGGGAGGGGGTGTCATTTCCCACCTCAGGGTCCTCCCTCTTGCCACAAGATGAACCTAAACAAAGCCAAAGCTAGTTGTCGTCTGGGCTCTCTAGGGCCCTGGCCGAGCTCTGAGCCAGCAGCATGCTGGGGAGCAGCCTCGGGGAGCCGGGTGCTGGCGAGTCCACTCAGCCTGGCCCAGTTCACTTCCCGCATCTGTTGCTACTTTGTTCTTCCTCAGGATGTGGTGAGAGGTGGAGACTGGGGGAAGAAGTGGGAAGTGGGGAAGAGAAGGAATGCCTGGATGCTCTGGCTGTTTATTCTCTACTCCAGCCTGAGGCGAGGAAGGGCAGAAGCCGTCCTGGCTTCAGAAACTGGAGAAACTCACTTGCAGTTGCCCAGGGCTGTGTGCCAGGGTCTACCTGAAGCCACAGGCGAAACCTGCATATCTCCCTAAGCCCTCGGGGGGGGGGGGGGGGGGGGGGGGGGGGGGNGGGGGGGGGGGGGGGGGGGGGGGGGGGGGGGGGGGGGGGGGGGGGGGGGGGGGGGGGGGGGGGGGGGGGGGGGGGGGGGGGGGGGGGGGGCTTCTTTACATTAAGATATATGCAGGTATATTAATCAGAGCAAACACTTAGTGGGTATTTACCATGTGCCAGGCACTGTGCTAAGTGCTTAAAGTACCTCAGCTCCTGCAGTGCTGCAAACAGTGCTATAATAACAGCTCTTTCCTGTACTCCCTCCCTTTGCAGAGGCTTAGCGAGTTCCCACAGCTGTGGGTGGCAGGCCTGCATATAAACGCAGGCAGCCTGACTCCACAGCCCACTACATGTACATGTCCAGTCTGTTCAGTGTTCTAAAGGGCCTTTCTCGGGGCAAGTGCCATGTGCTCTGGCAAGGGGCTTGGCACACAAGCACCTGTCAGCTTGCCTTAAAGGGGCACCTGCCCAGAGGAGGCAAAATTCTCTCCAATATTTCAGTTAAAGCCTGAGGTCTCTTTGG